TACTGACCCTATCTCTATTAAGTAGAGACACCTGAGGGCCCAGACTTGGAACAGCACGAGGAATGTCATCATCATCATCATCATCATCATCATCATCATCATCATCATCATCATCATCATCATCCTGAATATTTACTACGACAGAAATCCCTGAAGCATCCTGCCTAACTTCTACTTTCCAATCTTCTTCTATACTTTTCTCTCTGTGTGCCACATAATTCTTGCAACTAAAGCAATGTACAGAATGAATAAGTACTTTACATGAACAAATTTTCTGCAAAAAATAACTCTAGGCAATCTTTTGTTTTTCATTTTAATATTCACTTCTCCACTGAAACCTGCTTTAAAGCTTGCTTCCATTTTCTTGTCACTGCTTGGTAGTCAAAAGTGGTCCCGCGATGTCTCTAATAATGTTTTGCACCGTCTCCATATCAACTCAATAGGATTATAGTGACAATGGTAGTGGGGAGGCACAAAACTCTATGTCCAGCTTCTTCAATCATTTCATCTACAAAATATCTACATCGACATCAACTGATATGGATTTTGAAAACATTGACAATCACATTGTAATCATCGAAATCATGCAAAAAATAAAACTGCCTTATTCTATGATTATTTCAACAAAACTTTTGCTTATGAGTACCTTATCTGAACAACTACTTCAGAAGTTTTTAAAAGAAGACTATTTAAGGTATACTCGGGTCTAAAGGGTATGTTGTGCTGAGTTAGAAAATGTTGCAGTTCACCCTTCCTCCATTTTGATGAAGGCCTTTTCATTTTATAAAAAAATGGAAGTGACAAAAGGATGTTTAAATATTTCAGTTATATTCAAAGATTACATGCATTTATTTTCATTCTCTCTGTACATATGAAACATTCTACTGGCAAAGTTTATGTTCTCTAAGAAAAAATGTGTTACTGATATAACTAAAATCACTGAACACCATTGAATGTAATAAATTATCTATTCCACCCTTTTTAGTGATGGAAATAAAAGTTGAAACATCCACTTTCACCACTGTGTAGTTTGAATACTCGTTTTATAATCGGTTATTTTTATAAAGGAATAAACGCATTATTTGAATGAATATTTTTCACATATCTAAAAGAACAATTGATGAAATGTCACTCACCAGCACAGATTGAACAGGTGCATTGTCTATTACAATAACTTATGGTTCTGCTAAGTGAGGTAATAATTCTTCTTTCATCCACTTTTGGAACATCTCAGTTGTCATAGTTATGATATTCATATACTTCTTTTGAAACAATAATTCTGCATCTTTGATGAAACCATTTGCACCTCCTGCGTGTAAGACTATATACCTTTTACCTTCATCTAAATTTTTGCTTGAGCAACTCTCATTTTTATCTTGCCATGACCAAGAGACATAACCTAAAGGATAGATTGTTAAAAACAGTTAGTAAAGATGATCTACTGAAATAAAATCATATTGAACCACTTTGTAGGTGCTTGACAAACAATATTCATCATACATAAGTCATTACACACACTGCTATTTCTCAAAAGATGCATTTCATTACATGCAAATCATGCCTTCTCCATTCACTTATATCTAGAATTTCATAATTTTCAACACTACAAAATTTAGTAGATTTTTTTGCCTGCCCTTTGAATAAAAAGTCTCATCCAAAAACACAAATTAATAACCTTTAGCCTTCAGTTTCATATATTTCATCAAAAAATCAGAACTTGCAATAACAATTCTCTTCTTTCTATTAGTGACCTGTGATTATCCATGTTTTTCCATTAAAACCCCACGGCATGAAGCAGATAAGACAAAGATGCCCCACACCCACCCACCATAAACCCTATATCTCTATCATGTTTAACTACAGTTAAAATTGAATCCAGAGTAACACTTTGTCCTGAGAAAATTGTTGTAGTATACAAAACAGGAACTCTCTTACATGCAAATATAAATAAATTACTTTCCATTCTCGTACATTGAATAAATAATCCGCCTAATCAAGCCTTGACCAAAATCATCCACTACACATGTTTTGGTCCCTTCTATTGCTGGACACTTCCTTTTTGGAGTCTGAGCTGTACCAGGGTCTTGCTTATCTGTAAAATTAAATTCAACATTATCCGAAACAATTTCACCTGGCACGTTTATTATAATTTTACTCACTTTTGAACAATGTGAGTTTTCAGCCTCAATGCATAGGCAGTTTTGTCAATAACGGAAGAGGTTTCTATATTGCCTCGCATCATCAGCTCTTCCACAAATCTTGCAATAAGAAAGATGTCTTCTTGGCCCTTTCCCCTCTGCGGTGGACTCATTGCTAAAGTTGCTTAAAAACTATTAATATTTATTATAAACTATATTAAATATTATTACAAAAATAAATATCTGCTATAAGATATAAAGTAATTAAAATGCAAGTAATTACAAATTAAATATTTTATAAATAGGTATTATTAATGCTATTAAGTTGTTAATTTAACTTATTAGTATATTATTGTTACATGTAATATTTCAATGAATTAAATATAATATAAATATTAAATAATGGAAATTCTCCAAAATATGTGGAGTGAAATCGTTCACGTCCTCTCTCCCCTGTGTCGACGATCTCGCAAAGGTTCAATAGGCTGAAGAGAAGGGCTCGGCCAGCGCCCCTCTCTGGTGGTGCCAGGCAAAAATCACACAAAACAGCCATGCAAAACGGAAAACTGTCCTTGAAACTCGGGCAAAAGGCCCGCCCGGGGCCCGCCAACAAAAGAGAAGCCCTGTTAGCTGCACCTCTCTTTTCTGCAGTGAACTCTCCAAATTCTAACTGAACATAGTATGCGTAAATTATTAACTTATAAAAATTGTAATCTTGAATATAGTTTCAGAATTCTTCAAAATCATTTTATCACTATAATAAAATATTTTTCATTGAACTTTCTCCTTTGTCGGAATGACAATGCATTAGGTTGTGCCACAGCGCTACGACACGTTAGCCAACGTTCATGAAATGAAATCGAATCATTTCTGCATGTTGATCACTGAGCCACGCCTCCAGGCATGATCCATGTGGTATGGCATCAGTGGCTGACCAAAAACTGATCACATGACTGAACGCTCTGTAGGTACCTTGGAGCGATGACATAACGTTTACGAACCATGCGGGATCCCATGCCTTTTTGGCTTAGAAATGAAAAAAAGTGCAAATGTTATTTCGAGCCAGAACGGAATTTCTACAATTTGCGATCAATGTTTAAAGTACGAGGATATCCAATCTAGGGCAATACCACGAATTCCATACGAAGGTAATTTTGAGAACTAATGTTATGGTCAATGACGTTCAAAGCTTTCGAACATTTTAAAAATATTTCAATATGTTCTTCATTTTGGTCCATTGATGGAGCAATATCGTTAAGAAAAGAAAAAATACAGCTTTCGTACACTATCAAAAATGTCATTACATCTAATGTAGATTAATGTATTGTACATTAAACTCAATGTAACCTTGTACATTAATAAGAGTTTAATGTATTTGTACATTACATTTAATTCACAAGTTAAAACCAACGTAGGTATAATGTAGAAGTTCTCCCTTTTCCCCTGCCTCTCGTCATTCATGTATAATGTATATCGTATAATGTCGTACATATCGTATATTCATTATCACCAATCAGTCCATCAAGATCGTTCATTCTTTCCAGATATGACTAATAAGCTTTGATATTGTCATCCTAATGCACATGCGTACATTATGTAATTTGCGTTAATGTAATGTGCCTTAATGTAATTCACATCAAAGTAATGCGGAAATTTCTGACAGATTTTCTAGATCTGTTTTCAGAGTCTGAAAACGCTCCATGTTTCCTGAGAAAGGTTTCCATTCGCGTACAAAATGTTTTTGAGAAAACTGACGAAAAAAAATTTTCGAAGAACCCTCGTCTAACCTGGTCCAACATCGTTAGAATTCATGTGGCAATACCGACCCAATCGCTGTGACCAGTCCACCGATCACGTTCAAGACTGGACTTCAGCCAGTCAATTTAGACAACGAGCTCGTTTGCCAAGACCGTTTGAAGCGTTGTCTGTTGTGCCTGGGTCACCCTAGAGACAACTCGGTTAAAAGAATCTCGCGTTCCGTATAAGGTTGTGTGTAATCATTTGGTTAAATTGAGATTTCCCTTCTTTACTGCTTTGACCTCTATAGTTGACGAAGTGTGACATCTTTTTTATTCAACATTCTTACGATAGCGTGTAAGTTAGATTTCTTCCTGTTATCTAATCACCTACAGGGATTTTACAAACCTTGAAAATTTACTCATCTCGCAGTTATTTCAAAGCCAACAAAACGTAGTCGCTGCGGAAGACAATGGCATTTGCAGTAATATATTGTTTGCTCGAATCACAGGGCAAATCATTAACAATGAGGTGTGAAATGTTAGAATTTCGCATAGCGTTCCTTTCCTTTTAATTGTATAACTTTGTTTTTCGTATTATTCCGCATTGAAGGATATTTATTTTTACTTTTTAATTTCTGACACGAAAGTATGGTTGCTGTGCAAGTAATTCATTAGCAATCCATAAGTAAGCATTTGTTGTCGATGTGGAAGAACATATAATTTATTTTTAAAAGCTATTCAAATATAGACCTTCCTGTAAAGTGCGTTGTAGTTGCGTTGGCGTTGGTAATTGCTCAGTATATTGTGCCATTATCTCTTTGTCGGTTCATAGTGTTGATTAACTGTATTCTATGAGATAAATTAGTCTGATTCCATTAATGTCAAATTCTGTATGTGGTGAAATTCATTGGATAATTTCAGACTTTCCGGACGTCGGTGAGGGTGGTCAATGATCTGCACCATACTACTAGAATTAGCAGTAATGAAAGTAAGAGCAATTGATTTCATTTTCGTAATCAATTATGAAAAAAGTAATAGAATGTAAAATTATTTTCTGGTCATACTGAACCTATTAGGAAGACGGAAAGTAATGAACACCGAAGTGAAAAGTGTTAAGTTACGAATGGCTGGATATCGCTTGTATGGGAAGCATGAGGTAAAGAAAGTACTGTCTGAACCGCCAAGAGTTCTTGATGTAGAAATGCGGTACTATGTTATCGTACTAGGAAAAATATATTGTCGATCAGACAACCTGAAAGTACACAGTAGATGCGGAATCAGTGGCTCGAGGCATGAAATTTGTTGCTTGTGTGTTTCTGAAAGACCTTATTTGGAGTCAACTTCAATGTCCACAGAAAATGTCGTTCCCTTCAAAACTCTTTAGAGCATTTAGTACAGTATAAATAAAGCATTTGTATATATAGGCGATCCCCATTTAGCATTTAACTAATGAATATTTTTATACATATTTTATATTTATATATGTAGATTTTAAGAAATTAGCAAGTTTCCAATAATGAAATTGATTTCAATACTGTCGCCATTTCTTAGGTGAAGGGATCTAATTCTCAGGTAAGTTTATTGTGGATACATTAATTGAAGGACCAGTGCTGCGAAGATTATTAAAATATATGCGTTACTTCGCTAAATAACGAACGTTTGGTCTTTACCAAATGGATCCGATGATTTTTCTTTACTGAAACAAATATGTTTGCCGCAAGATATTTGTGTATCGTTCACTTTGCTGTAAAAGTTTGTTTTTGTGGTATTTTCCTTTTTCTCTATTCAGTCTCTATATTCTATGTGATTTGTATAATTGGTACGTTATTGAACGAACTTACTACGCATAAATGGGTAATGTAATGTTGAAATGCATTAGTAATGTTTTTTTTTCTTTTTCCACAGAACCAACGCAGATTTATCGCTTTCTTCGTACTCGGAACATGTTGTCGGTATGTTGCATGTATTTCAATTATATAACTGAAATATTAATAATTTTTAAAATACTTCTTGTATTGATATTTTCCAGAGACAGGATTTTGAAAGTTGTGAAAGAGGATGAACGGCGTAATCTTGTGCATTGTGTTAAAAATTCATACAAGCCTGTGGTCATACTGTATTATACATACATTGGAGAATCACAATTGACATTTTATGTCACCACTGTAAGAAAAACAAACAAATATGTAAGACTGTGACATTATGAAAGACTGTACAACGATATTGTAAAAAATAATTCTACAATAAAAGTGTTCCAATGAGCTAGTATTGAAGTTCTTGTCTTCGGTGGGTTGCACAGTCGTCCCACTTCATATTTGGGAGATCGCTGATATGTACCAAAATGAATCTACCGCCACTCTCTCCCGAATAGAAGTGCAACGCTCTTGGTCAATGGCAGGAACCATTTGTCATAGTGGCCAAAGCCTCTTGTGCTCGCCGAATGATGACAAGAACAGACGAAGACTTACGAACAAGTTGCATAATTTGTCATCCACCTTACTCGTAGACCATTGAATGAACGCCGATATGACGAGGCACATCATTGTATTTAACGATGTGAAACGTAAACCTGTGTACAGTTTGGGGTATCTGCCAAACCTCGTGTACACGATTGTTGTCAAATATCTAGTGTTCCTATAGTAAGAGTATTAATGGTTTGTGAGTTGGAACTAAACTTCGCGTTTATTTGCTTGTTCACGCTTTCAAAGTAAAACTTTCTCAAACATATACTCGCTTAGGTGGCTCAGAGCATCAGTAAATGTCACGGTAGTGGCTCTGACCATGAGGGCATAGGACTCTCGTCCCGACGATGGCAGGATTTTCGACACTAGCTAGATAGCTAGGTCTTGTTCAGCCGGGCTTGAAAATTGTAGTGGCCGGTTGCGCTGATCTGTAGATTTCCGTGGTTTCTTCGATCAACGTCAGACGAATGCCGGAGCAGTACTCTAACAAACGGGCTATTGACCGCGCGCGATGTTTTCCCCTTTCCTTGCCCTATCTTCTCCTCTTACACGCACATTTACATGCACTACCATGTGTCGGGAGACAAGTCGCTACATGTCCCAGCCGGAGTAGTGCCCCGCTGGAGGGATGTACCTGGTTGGGAAAATTCCTGCAAGCCGACATGAGAGGCGGCGCCGGATCTCGCCATCCAGCTGGGAAGAATCACAGTCCCCCCAGTGATAAAACATGCACTTACGGGATTAATGACCATAGCCGATGACGCGCTCGGAAATATCAGTTCACCCAAGAAGTTTTTGGAATGCCTACTTTGAATAGGTACATTAATTGTTGCGTAACCGCACGTCTACTTTATTTTTGTAAAATGTTCCGTTATATTTTCTTATAAACAAAAAAATTGCTGAATATTTTCTTTGTTATATATCTATTTCAACTTTAAGAAAAGTGTTACATTTCATCATGATGCTTTTAACTTGGGCAAACGTTCATATATATATATATAAGCAGGAAAATTTGAGGCGCTTAATATTATCTCCACATTCCTTAGTTACCAATATGCTACTGTTTTCCATTAAATATAGATCCGACCTCCAGACTTACATTATGCATCACATCTCATTGGAGACTTTAGAAATTGTAAATAAAAATGAAAAACACCGAATGTGTTAATCAAACGCATTTTTTTACATTTCAACATTTTTTCTGTTAGTATGGTGAATGGTATGTTCACTTGGTCACTACCCTTTATTACATCAGATATGAGGTATTTTATTTACAGCACGCTTTATAATATCGACAATCGATTGAATCTACTGCGATCACGTAAGTAAATGGCATTTAAAGGCGATTATATAAGATAAAAGATATTTACACACTTCATAATTTCCAGAAAACGTCGTTTATAAGCGAAGCAACGTAATTTGGCAACATCTTTTTGTGTTTTTCACAATACTCAACACTACTGGAATTGGTAAACACGTTGTATACAAATGTGTTTTACGCAAATTTCATTGGATTTCTACCTTCAACAAATTTGTGATTACTGAATTCGAGTAAAAGGATGTAATAATAAATTAAATAAAGAATGTGTGATACTGATATCAAGGATTTGTACGTTCATATGTATGTATTTGTGCATTACTTGTTATCAAACATTCCTCATTCGTTCCCTAACTGGGTTTTTCCAGGTATTTACATGTGCCATGTATTCCCACATCTCTGGTAAATACTTTCCTATTTTATTTCAGTAGTATACATGAGTTTTGCGGCTCCCAGACGCAACCATTCTATAAATAAGGTATTTAAAGAAAGATAAGTTCACTAATTTGTTATGAATTGCACTTCAACGTTAAACATAAGAAGTATTTGTTGAAAAAGAATACAAATATAGGCATACAAAGGTGTCGGATGCAACCTGCGGTACTCAGGCAGCGTTGTTGAAATATTTATAGTTTCATAACTCCAAAACGAAGCGTTTCAGGCCCTTAAAACCTGAAATGTTCATGTCGTATTCTACAGGGCGAGATCCTGGATATTCGATAACATTTTTGCTGTTTCTACGCTTCTCGATTGTACTTCTTGTGTTCAGAGACGTGCAGAATCTGCATCTGTATGTGGAATTAAATTGATTACTTGAAATTCTATGCGATAAAAACATCAGTTGAAAAACATACGTGTATGTAGTTGCAAAGATAACCATAAAACAACATAATGTTCAATCCCTTTCAAATAAAACCAAGTTTATCGAAGCAGCTCTATAGAGCGATTTAAATCAAATGGATATTCTTTGCTTTACAGAACATTGCTCATTTCATAATGAACTTAGCATTTTCCAAATTCGAAACTTTTCTCGCAGGCTATTATTGTAGAGAAAAGGAATCGCCTAAAGGTCGTACATATGGGTGTTCTTGCATTTACGTTAGAAATAATTTCGATTCTATTAATTACATGTGTATTCCGTTGAAAATGTTTTTGATATATCTGTAGTGCATCTTCCAACCCTAAAACTTATATTACTTTACATTTCCAGACCTCCAACAAAGAGAGCAGTAGATTATATTAAGTTCTAAAAAAAACTGGAGATAACACTAAACAAAGTCAGCAATCGTTCCTTTGAATCCATTGTTGTATGCAGAGAATTTAATATTGATTTTCTGGGCGAATCTTGCGAGAGAGTGCAGTTTTTCGACTTCTTTCCTTCGGTTTAGATATTGTAATAAATGTACCTTAACGGATCATCCTAAATTCAAAAAAAGCTATCGATCTAATAATAATAATAATAATAATAATAATAATAATAATTAACAAAGCCACTATTCGGTATCAAATTCTACCAGAAGATTTAGGATAGTGTGTACATGATTTTGTAGTGTATACATGATACTATACACTATTAGGTTTTTAAAATACATAATTCTCTTTGTTGAAATAAATATTTAAATAAATTTTGTCAAATAAAATAAGGCAACAAAAAGATCTCTAGGCCATTTGCCTAGGCCCTGCATCCGACACTGTGAGAATAATTATTACATTGTAACCTACATCGCCGTGGCAGAGCTTGCCCGGATCACAGTGGCAGTCGTTGCTTTTCACCTCTGAATTATTGATAGGGGAGAGGGGACGCATGCATGTTTGGGGTTTCCTACTACCATTGAAACACAACGTATTTGAAATCATATATACTTAATCAGTTAGTAGAAATATATAATCCATTTTACAGTGAATCCTGGCTCTCACAAGATTTCCCTTACAAATTAAATACCTCCTCCTCCTCACATACAAGTCAATTAATGCTCCGCACTTTTTGGCGATCTCAGCACGCTGCTTCCCAAGCTGGCGCTGTGGCGCTGAAATCCTGTTGATGGTGAGGGATCGGTTGATCCTCCGTGCGGAGCACGTTCTGTTGGCCTGGGATGTAGTCGCGTGAGCACGGCTGTCCTCACCCGTGTTCCCCGGCGGAGGAACGGCGCGACTGAAGCAGTGTCCCCGGGGAGACGTCACAGGTCGTGCGCGGCACCGCCTTAATCGCGGCGACTCGGCTCCCGATCGCGGTCAGCATCCGGTCACACACACAGGAATCGGACCCGGAAACGAAGTTTCGCCGATGACGCGGCGAAACGCCCGACCATGTTCTCGCGGGGTCGTCAGCTCAGACGCGGTTACATACAGAGCGACGCGCCACGGCTGCCTGTAGTGCGGTCTGAAGCAAGCATGCTCACGAACTTTTAAAGAAGCTCGGCGAATACATTTTACAAGAGGCAGCAGTAGCTTGAACAAATATTATATAAGGAGCTTGACAAAAATCTTTTTCAGGAGTACGTTGGGTCCTCAGTATTTACAGGTTTCGCGGGCCCTCTCTCACGCCGATGACGCGGTGGTACTCCTGCCAATCACGTAACCGTTGGATTGGTTTGGGACATATGTTCGCTGGCGCCACCTGCCGGCGCCTTCCTGTGATAACCTGTGACGCTGTACTTGATCGTCCATCCGCATACCGATTTCGTGACGTCACGGTCCTCACATTAGTGTTTGCGAACATACGAAAGTCCTGACTCCTCGCTCCGGATTAGGCGGCCGCCTGCACCCACGTTTTCCTTGTTCGCGCACAATTCCTGACAGCTATGTTCCTCGGCGTTTTGCATAGCGAGGCGTGAATTTGAAAATAATTCCATCCTCCATGCCGCTGAACGGCTACTATAATAATGAAATTAAATATAATCTAACTCTGTGCTGTTACAAGATCTTTTCCCTTCGTCTAAACTTCTGCTCAAGCAGCACTCTCTACTCTTGTCATGGCCGGGAGGCAAAAACTAAAAGGTAGATTGTTAAAAACAGTAACTTAAATAATACTCAAAAATAAAACAATATTAGATCACCAGTGCTTCTAAGACAATCTATATTCATGATATAAGAAAATCATTACTTATGCTGATTTAACTCTAATTTTACAAATAACAGATTTTAGTAATGCAAATCAAGCCTTGTTAGTTTACTTTTCTTACACCCCATATATTTCAACCGAAAAGAATTTAGTAGATTTTTGCCTGCCTTTCGAATATAACCATGTCTTGTCCAAAAAATTAAATTCCATACCTCCTTCCCTCAGTTTCCAATATTTCATTACAAAATAGGATCTTGCAACTACAATATCATTTCTGTTCATAAGTTATCTGCGATTATGCGTTTTCTTACATTTACAATCCAC